CTGCCTTGGATCTCAGCACATGGTTAACATTTTCAATTGGTGGTAAAGGCTAACAGGGAGGTGGAAATAGGAGAGGTGAGCAAATATGAAGAAATAAATGAAAAAGTAATCAGGCCTAAAGTAGTCCAGAAAAACATTGGAATTTAGCAATATGCTATGCATCCTTTAAAAATGTGTGTATTTTGGAGACTTCCAGAGAAGAAAGGGCAAACCTGGTGGTTGGTTATAGTTCCGTTAAAAAAGGAGCCCAGAACCACAGTGGAATGAAGAGCTGGTGAGAAGGAATTCATAATTCCTTTGGACAAGGAGAAGACTTGAGCATCTGTTATTTTGTATGTGTGTGTGTGTCTGTGTGTCTGTGTGTGTGTGTGTGTGTGTTTGTGTGTGTGTGTGTGTGTGTGTGTGTGTGTTTACTATGTTCTTATTTTTCATTTTTACTTTTCTTTCTATTTTTTTTTTTTTTTTTAAGGTTTAAAGCTTTTTTATTTGTAGTGTTTAATAAAACTACTATAAAATAAAAAAAATGTGCTTATGTATGTATACCAGTGAACCTGGAAGTAGATATCTATTATATTGTGTCTGCTTACAACTTGGATTCTTTGAAACCATGCCATGCAGCTTTTAGAAGGAATCCAGGTAGAACTAATGTTCTATCAGGGAAGCTTAACTTTTCAGGGACACAACTGTAGGTGCACAGGGGGGTGGAGATATTGTAATGTAAGATGATGTCTTTGCTTTCTTTCTCTCTCTTTTCCTAGGTACCAGATCCATACAGGTCTTCAGCACTCAATCATCCGTCCCCGACAGCCAAATTGCTTGCCTCTGAACCAGGTCACTCTCCCACAGAAGCTGCAAGAAGCCGGCTACTCTACCCACATGGTTGGCAAATGGCATTTAGGCTTTTATCGTAAAGAATGCTTGCCAACTCGCAGGGGCTTCGATACCTTCCTGGGCTCACTGACAGGAAATGTGGATTATTATACATATGACAACTGTGACGGGCCAGGAATATGCGGGTACGACCTTCATGATGGGGAAAATGTAGCCTGGGAAAAAAGTGGCAAGTATTCCACGTTCCTTTACACCCAGCGAGTCAGAAAAATTTTGGCAACCCACAACCCCAAGGAGCCTCTCTTCATCTACATAGCATTCCAGGCAGTGCATACCCCTTTGCAGTCCCCAAAGGAATACATCTATCGCTATCGCTCCATGGGCAATGTTGCCCGCCGCAAATATGCTGCCATGGTCACATGCATGGATGAAGCTGTGAAGAATATCACCTGGACCTTGAAGAAATACGGCTACTATGACAACAGCATTATTGTTTTCTCTACAGATAATGGAGGGCAGACGTTCTCTGGGGGAAGCAACTGGCCGTTGCGAGGCCGCAAAGGAACATATTGGGAGGGAGGAGTGCGTGGCATTGGATTTGTCCACAGTCCACTGATTAAACGCAAGCGAAGGACCAGCAGGGCGCTCATCCACATAACTGACTGGTACCCAACCTTAGTGACTTTGGCTAGGGGCAATGTGTCTGAAGCAGATGGCTTGGATGGCTATAACGTGTGGCCAGCTATCAGCGAGGGCAAAGAGTCACCCCGGACTGAAATCCTGCACAACATTGACCCTTTGTATAATCATGCCAAATATGGCTCTTTAGAGAATGGCTTTGGCATCTGGAATACAGCAGTGCAGGCCTCTTTACGGGTGGGAGACTGGAAACTTCTTACTGGAGATCCTGGCTACAGTGACTGGATCCCACCACAGACTCTAACCAACTTCCCGGGGAGTTGGTGGAACTTAGAGCGCCTGACAAACGGGATGCGGCAGTCTGTCTGGCTTTTCAACATTACAGCCGATCCATACGAGCGCCATGATCTGTCAGATCAGCGTCCTGATGTGGTCAGGGCCCTACTTCTTAGGCTGGTTAATTACAACCAGACTGCCATCCCTGTCAGATACCCTGCGGAAAACCCACGAGCTCACCCTGACTTCAATGGTGGTGCCTGGGGACCTTGGGCCACAGAAGAGGATGAAAGATGGGAAGTAGAGCATGGAAAGCCAAAAAACAAAAAGAGGAAAAAGAAGTGCAAGATCTGTAAGCTACGCTCCTTCTTCAAAAAGTTGAACACCAGGATGATGTCAAACCGCATCTGAGATGGGGCAGGCTGGGTTCTTGGCAAAAGTCAGGTTGGAAGAGAGCTGTTCCAAAAAATAAAATAAAATGGAAGTAGGGGGAGAGAGCACTAGACCATTCTCCTTTCTGTTCAACTTGGAGTGAAATGAGATGGACTATCAGCTCTTCTTCCCCTATTGTGAGATAGGGATAACCAAGTCTGCCTCTCCATTCCACTTCGTCTTTCCCTCAATTTCAGCACCAACATTGCTGATTCTGAATATGGGCAGACTTTGCAACCGCTATTTGACATAGTCCCTTCCTTTTAAACGTTGTGACATGAGATGGTACTCAATGTGCAATTAGTCATTCTAGGAGATTGCAGCAATGCCATTCAGGAACTAGTGGGAAGGATATACATTCTCATTCTTTAACCAAAGATGAAATTGTTCTTTACCCAGGGAAAGAATCGCTTAAGGATGAAATTGTTCCGTATTTGCTATTGACTAATGGAATGCTGAGCATAAATAATCTTATATAATGTTTTTGCTCTCAGAAAGCGATTGTGGATTCTTCTCTCCCTGGAGACTGTAGTTGCCTCCTTCTGATCACTTTAGTGCCTGTGGGTGTAGATACAGAAGACCTGGGACAATTATTTTTATCAGAGTTAAAATGCAGATCTGGTGTGGTGCAATTTCCCCCCACCCCCTGAATATGTATAAAGCCAAACATCTTGTATACGTGGGCAGGGGCATCAGTAAAGGCTGTTTGAGTGTTGCTTGAGCTAAGAGCATAGTCTTATATATGCAGAAGGAGTTGATAAGAGCTGCATTTTTACATTGATTGACAGATCTGTTTACTTCCACTGAATGACTGCTCTTATATAGTTTTTTTTTACTATGCAGATTTTCTTTCCTGCAATTTTGAGTGTAGTGCAGATGAGTTCTTGTTCATCTATAGATCTATTCAAATACAGAAGAATAATTGCAAGTTGCTTCCATACGTCAATTTGTATGTAAAACAAACTATGCAAATACTCATGATTAGCTCACAAATAGTTAAAATCTTACTGTTTGGTGAGCAGAATTTGAATTTGTTCATAAAGGCAGAATTATTTTTTATAAATATGATGATCACTAGCTGAATGTATTTTTTTTTAAAGAAAATAACAGTTCATTTATCTATTAATGTGAGTTCATCATGGTGATTGATTGATGCATGGATTGGGGATTTCCTATCAGGTCAGTGTTGCCTCTTAGCAATCACATAGATAATTTTTCACTGATGATCATTAATGCTCTATCATCTCTAGTGAGCTGTGGTGGTGCAGTGGTTGGAATGCAGTATTGCAGGCTAATTCTGCTAATTTCCAACAGCTTGATTCTCAACCTGCTCAAGGTTGACTCAACCTTCCATCCTTCCGAGGTGGGTAAAACAAGGATCCAGATTGTTGGGCGATATGCTGACTCTTAAACTGTGTAGGGAGGGCTGCAAAGCACTGTGAAGTGATATATAAGTCTAAGTGCTATTGCTATCCCTAATATGTCCTTCAGGTCTTCCAATGGTGCATACAGTCTTCTCATCTTCCCTTTTTTACCACCTTTCCCAGTATAAAAACCTTTTCAGAAAACTAAATCTTCACATAATGCATCCAAAGTAGGATATTTTGAGCCTGGTCCTTTCAGTTCCAACAAGAACTTTGGATTGATTTGTCCACTACAACCATTTGTTTGTTTTCTTGGCTGCCTTGAAATATTCTCTGGAGTCTTCTCCAACCCCAAACTTTAAAAGGGTCAACACTCTTCTCATTCTGCTTCTTCAAAGTACAACTTTTGCTTCCACAGATCGTGACAGAGAATTCCATGGATTATTCTGATCTTTGTAGGTGTAGCTACATCAGAGCATCTGAATACCTTTTCCAAAGTCTTCAGGGCTGTTTTTCCAAGTGCAATTGGGGAACATATTTCTTAACAGCTGGTTCCTATAGTGTGGATGGTTGATCCTAAAAGGCAGAAATTATCTACCATCTTGATATTTTAGGTCATGGTTGTGAAATTAAATCTTCATAGTGTTGAAGATAAAGATGAATGGTCTAGAACAGTGATTTTTGTAAAGGTGTGCCAAAATTGTGTGTGTGCCTGCTATCGCGTGCACGCGTGTGCCCACATCCACAATTCAATGCACCCCACCCACCTGCATGCACATACGACCCCCCACCCCGTGCATACACTCATAAACCCCCATGTGTGTGTGTGGAGTTTTTGCCCTCCTCAGAATCTGGAGGCTTTCCTGAAGCATGGAGAGGGCGAAAACGGCCTCCCCCAGCCCTTCGGAAGGCCGAAAATCAGTTGACCAGCATACGCATGCATGCCGGAGCTGATGCCTCATGTGCTGGCAAATATGGCTCTGTGTGCCACCTGTGGCATGGGTGCCATAGGTTCGGCATCACAGGTCTAGAAATTTCCAATGGCATCTGGCTGGCACCTGAGGGACACAAAGACTGAATAAAGTTGATTGCTGATCTGTCCAGCAGAATATTTTTTTTGCCATCTTATATTTTAGTTATGTTGACACTTTCTTTGTTTATAAAGCTTCTGATCTAAAAAAAAAGAATTTAGCAATCTGGAAAAATTTGGATATTTGGTTCTTGGACAAGTCTGAAAAAAGAAAGTGTGGCCTCTTTAAAAGATTTGTTTGAATGAATTAACTCCTTAAAGAAGTTGTGTCTTTTTTTAGGCTCATGCAGAGGTCTTGGGCAAGAGGAACTACTTTGAAGCATTGCAGAGAGGTGTTGTGCTTTCACATGGTCCAAAACGCTTCTTCTGAGCCACTTTCAAAGATTGCTCAGCCCTAAAGATTATATACCACCCTGAGTCTCTAAGGCAGTATGTGTCTTTGAATACCAATTGACAAGGAATATGAGAATTTGGTGATGCTTGAAGGATTTCCATGGGTATTTCTTGGGTCACTGAAGGAGCAAGATACTGGTTTGAAGTTTGTAAGATGCATTTTGCATTTGCCTGAAACTACACACAAACACATGCACGTATGCACACACGCACGCACACACGCACACACACCTCTTTTCCTGCCCACCTTGCCAAACACAGGAGTAAGCTTGTGAAAGTTGCTTTTAAAGAGAATACATTTCCAGAACCTGGTGCTAAACTCCATTTCTCTTCTCTTTTCTGGACCAGTGTTTCTCCCTTCTAAAAGCTAGGCAGTGTTGCTTGCCTGGGGCTTCCTTGGGGCAGAGATGCTGAAGGATTGTACGCAGACTCATGTAGACACATTCTGATGAGCATTGAAATGCTGATCTTAAATGAGAGTGGTGTTGACTTTCCAGCCTAAGAAGAGGATGATATCTCTGATTGGTAGGAAGCCCCTGAAATGTTCCTACAAAGTGACAATGGTTGCCTGGATCACAACTACATTATTTCCTTTTGGTGTTTTGTGAAATAATTCCCGTGTGTACACCACCAAAGAGGATACTATCCAAAAAGAGGGCAAACAGCTCTAAAATCAGTTAACTGTAGGAGCTTGATTTTATTTACACTTACATAATGCGTTTTACATTTTTCTCCCCACAGGTTTTAGTTGGTACAGTGCATGTGGGCGAAAGCCCTGCTGTGAATTAAAAAAAAAATTGTTATTTTTGTCCCTAGAGAATGAGCCCTTTTAGGACTTGTCAACTCATTGATGAGCTGTGTGAGGTTCTTTTCTTTCATGTCACTAAAATCTGTGACAGTTGGCAGGGCTTAGACTACCCAAGTATACAATGTACTCCTTTTCATAGTACCCTGGAGATCTGTTTCTGCCTTCTGAACAAAGTGTAATTTGCACCATAGGGCTACTTGTGGTTCTCCCAGAATGATGGCTTAACGTATTCATGGGTTAAGGAGGAGGAGGCAAAGGAGAAGGAGAGTTGCAATTGTTTCTTAGAAGTAGCTAACGTACAATGAGTCTAATTTATCACTTCAGAGGCATTTCTAAAGAATTGTCCCTGTTTGCCCATGAAGTAGGTCAGTTTTCCAAACCAGAAAGAACGAAGAATGGATAGAGCTGACTGCTAATTCAGTGCTGAATTAACACACAGCATTACCTTATTCTTCTGGACAGTCCTGGTAGAGGAAGGGAGGACAATGACATTTACATTTATTAAAAAGTCAGGGAGATGGAATGGAGAAATGGTTAGTGAAAATGGTGGAATTTGTTCAGATGGCCAAACTGACTTTCTTAATCGGAGAAAAGACAATATCTAAGTTTATTGCATACCAATGGTGGGTTTCAAATTTTTTTAGAACCTATTCTGTAGGTGTGGCCTGTTTTGTGGGAGTGGCTCCGCGGTCATGTGACCAGGTGGGCATGGCCAACTTGGAAAATATGGTGAAACTCACTTGCTAAGCAACCAAAATTTTGGGCTCAATTGTGCTCATAAGTTCTCTCTCTCTCTCTCTCTCTCTCTCTCTCCTTCGTTACTTCCTTTTGTCTCCTTTCTTTCTTTCTTTCTTTCTTTCTTTCTTTCTTTCTTTCTTTCTTTCTTCTCTCGCCTACTTTCTTTTTCTTTCTTTTTTCTTTTCTTTCTTCCTTTCTCTTTCTCTCTTTTTCTTTCTCTCTCTCTCTCTCTGTGTCTGTCTGTCTGTCTGTCTGTCTCTCTGTGTGGCTCTTTGTCTCTCTCTACCTCCCTTCCTTTGTGTGTCTCTCTGTCTGTCTGTCTGTCTCTGTGTCTGTCTATCTGTCTCTTTGTATCTTTCCCCTCCCTCCCTCTGTGGTATGTCTGTCTGTCTGCCTCTCACTCCCTCTCTCTCTCTCTGTGCCTCTGTCTGTCTGTCTGTCTGTCTGTCTGTCTGTCTGTCTGTCTGTCTTTCTCACTCACACACACTCACACACAGACACAGAGATGGCAGGGAAACAGGAGTGGAGCAGGCCAGGGGAGGGACTGTTCCGGTACCGGGCCCCTGGAAGCCCCAGTACAGGAAAGCACATTAAATTCTTTCAACCAGTACATGCGTACCGGACAGGATCAGCTGAAACCCACCTCTCTTGCATACTCTTCCCTTATAGACTCCTTGTGTGAAACAGGAAAAAAAAAACTTATGATTTATGGTAAACTTATAGTTGTAATTATAAGTGATATAAAGAAAATTGGAAATTTCTTCTTGTATCATTTTTGTTTTCTAATTTTTTAATTTTCTTTCTTGCAATTTTGTCTTTGTCTTTGATTTCTTCTTCCTCCTTATTTTATATTAGTTATTAAAGCACCCAGGAAATGCTAA